ATATTGGCAGTGTTTTTGCCTCGGTCTGACGTTTGGTGCCAGTTCAGCATTGATACTCATTTAGGGGTCTGTGCTCACTCGTCTATCTTCAGATAGCTTTCATATGGATCTGAGCAGCAGAAAGGAAGTCCCACTGGGGAAAGCTTGAGTCATGTAAGTTGTCTGAAGAATTGCTGTACATGTCTGTGAAGCTAATTGGACCCTAACATACCAAAGACCCCATCGTCAGTATGTTTCATATTAACTGCTGACATGGAATGACAGCGGGGCCTTTAAAATGTCACGGCAAGATACCAGGCCAATGCCTACCATACCTTTCTTAGAAGTGCAACACGTGAGTTGTGAAATTACAACTGATAAATATAATGATTAAGACAGTATGGCGCTGCATCTATACCTGCACGGCTGCTCCATACCTCAAATTGACTCTGTCAAGGTATCTGTGCTCTTTGTACGCAACAATAGAGGGTGACAAAACAGAAAGGACAGCTTTTCTAAAATGTCAGCCGGTTGGAGTCCCGCTGAAATATCTCCCTTCTCTCTCCGTCTATCTTGATCGATAAAGCTACCTTTGACAATGCAGCATGTTGTCACCATGACATTTGGTCACCCTTCTTTTCTCCCTCACCTGGCTCATTGCTGAATGGGAATATAACAATGAGATTTAATACAGGATCAATAGCTACACTCCAATGATACATTCAGTCGCATAATGAATGCTGATGGATGAAAACAAATACCTGCATGGGGAATTTGTATTCTGGTCACCATGTCTGTAATAGCCCTGCCAATGATGTTTCATTACATTTTTTCCGCTTGTGTGTTTTTTCCTTCTATCCATACAATCAAATAAAGGATATAGGCTTGATTTAATCAAGACTATGGCAGTAACGTGGCCCCAACCTCTTGTGTATTTATGAATCCTGCCGTGTGTATGAGTGCTCTTGCATCAATGTGATCTCATGCCCGTGAATATTGTGCCATTGTTTGCCTTTCATTCAACAGATATAGGCTCAGTGCAATATGTATAATAAATACTGAAAATGAATTGATTTTTACCACATGTCTGTGTGTATATTGAGTGGTGTTCCTGAGTCACACATTCATAGTGTTTGTACTGCGTGCATGGAGTTGTGACTGGAATGTACATGTGTGGTTTATCTTTATTTTTGTATTGAGTCCATATACATGAGTTGTTTACTGTACATGTTGAGTGCACCGTAATAGTAGGTTTATACGCCGCATATGTGGCCGAATGGATGTTGGTGTATACAGTATGTGGATACATTTTCATGCATATTTGAGGGAAGGAGTAATTTCTTTCTGCATGGATTTACTTTTACTACTAACATCACCTTCAGAAAGGTCAGTGCAGTTTGTCAAAATGCAAAAAGTTCAGTTTGTATCCTAGAAATGCATTTTAGGCTTTGTAAATAGGTAAAAGAAAAGAAACTGCTTTAAGTGAGAACTTAATTTGGTTTCTACGTTTTTGTCAGAGAAGAAATAAACTCTAACGGTCAAAGTTAGTTAATTTTAAGATGTAAAAACTTCCGTTGTAAATAAAAATACCTTCGTACAATAAGTAATGGCAAAATGATAAATTACATCCAATGGTGATGATGCAAAAAAGTACAATATGCTTTGACTGGCAAGTTGTACAAAAAGCCAGAATCCAAACTCTAAAGGATCATTAAATTACACTGGCAAACATTGTTCAATCATTTTATTTTATTTGACTTTACTTAAAAAAGTAAAGTCAAATAAAGTAGGCTTTACTTCTAAAAACACCAAATGAAGACTCCAGTTATTTGATAGTCACCTCACTTCATTGTCATATTTGGTGTCTGGGCCTTGGGCCTTCTGTCTGGGGCCACGTGTGAATGATGCCTCTAACAGCCACTGTTTAAACATCTCTCTACATGTTTCCATTTTGATCAAGGTCTGCCATTTCTACTGATTTTCCAAATCACTGATGCTTGTCAAAGAATTAATTACCTGGATCGTTGCTCTGCTGCCTCCAGCACCAGCTGCGGGTTCACCAGAGAGACCTCACCATTTTCCTAGCATTCCAGGCTAATCACCCACAATCCATTTCAAAGTCAACCTGATTGGCCCACTACCTGGAGAATAATGTGAAATTAGACTGCATCCTGACAGTTTTATATTTGCATACGGTGTATGGTAGATTAGTTTGCAGGAGCCTGCCAGTGGGAGGTGAATATCAGCATCACTGCCAGTGCTAATGGTAGATGCCTCCTACAGTTTATTAGATAAGTAATGGTGTAAAGCATTGTGCTAAGCGCAAATCCTCACTTTGTTATCGGCTGATGTGAAACAAAATGTGTTCATTTGGCCTGGGGACATAAACAGTCGCACATTCACACTGTTATAAAATGCGAGGACGACATAATGTTTTACCTGATATCATCACAGAACTTTTAAACCTGCAGTTTTAATGAGAGAGACACTTCAATGTTTGCTCTTGTAGAGCAAGTAAATGCCACCTACTGATTACGATATATTCAAAATAAATTCACCTCCAGGACATTGTGGTCATGTGCTGTGAAGATGCATAAGTGGTGAGGCTATAAATACATCTGCTCTCCTTGCTGGTTTGTCGGTGAGCATGTCCATCTTCCTGTCGGTGTGTCAGTGGGGTTGCAGCAGCATGACGTCAGCCTAGCTCGGAGCACTCGCTGACCTCTGTAACGAGGATTGGAGTACAGTGTGCTCCAGACAGCAATATACGAGTGCAGACAGAGTGAGCAGGGCAACAGCAGAGACCTGAGTGCACAGGGAGATGTGTTACAGTGTTAGTGTGTAGCCGTAATCCAGGGACGGACCAGTGGAGGAGAGTGCAGATAGGCTGGCTGTAGAAAGCTGGCTTCACAAAGATCTATGTTGACAGGTTATACGAAAATGTAAATCAGGTGGTAAAAGGAGATGTTACACAGAGTACTAGCAAAATTCACCCCTGTTTCTATGCAAAGGTGTTAAGACACTAACACACCCCCGCACACAGGATGCATATGCTGCCACTAGGAAACGTAATAAAACCATAAAATCAGGTTTGAACTACATTACTTGGAAATAAACCTCCACACAATGGTTGTAGGCCCTAATAGAACTATTGTAATGATTTTTCATGGTGTGTGTGTGTGTCCCTGTTAGAGCTATTGTAGTAAGTTTTCTTGGTGTGTGTGTGTGTGTGTGTGTGTGTGTGTGTGTGTGTGTGTGTGTGTCTGCCTGCGCGTGTGGGTTTGAGTGCTTACATATGTGTCTCTCTGTGCCATCACTGTAGTCATTACCTAGTTTCCGTTTCTTGCCTGAAGCAAAGTAAGAAATGGCAGTCGTTCACTCTGACATTCTGTCATTCAGGTAGTTACCCCATTCCCCTCCCAGTTTCCCTTAAAGACTGTCCGACTTTGCTTTCATAATACTTCAGAGAATTTTGACAGCAAAAACAGTTTGCAAGTTGACAGGCGCGTTAATATAATATATAGACATAATAAACCTCAGAAAGTCTTACAATAACAAGTGTTCATTGTTAACAAAAGCCATTGTGTGTGTTATTTTGTTTAATGTAAAATTAGTTGGTTTTAACTCAGGGCAATGTATGACCTTAAACTAGTTTGGGAACACTTTTAATGTTATTCAGAAAAAATATAATAATCCCATTCCTTGACAGTCTTAGATTCACCAAGTCTCCTCAGGCTTATTTCTTTTACAGCCTGATCCAATTTCACAGAGATACGGCTTTGCCATATTTACCTGTGACAGCCTCAAGGATTTGGAAACCAATGCTAATTAAAGAAAAGTAATACACATTTTCTCGACCATATACAATACAGTCATAGTTTAGGGCTGACGGGAATATACATATGACACAGCATTTATTTGGTTTTGTAAATGTTTGACCTACAAATTGGAAAGTCAATCCTTTTTGGGGTCTTAATATTTGGGAATGATTTATGGTATGACATTGAAACGTCTTTGTATTTAAGGCTTTTCAAGGACACGGAGTAGTACTTGGCCAGAAGAAATAAGTTTCCAGCTCTCAGCTCTAGTGTTGTGCTCCCACAAAATCCCACAGAACAAAATGTTTAGGTCACTACTGAGAAATGTTAAAATGCCTTACTGGTTGTGACAAGATCAAATAGACCTGGGGAAAAAAACTTAATTTTGGCACAAAGTTATCTTTTGGGGTCAAAAAGATATAGGTAAATATCAAGCCTTTTTAAAAATACAGAACCTTGAAGCAGTAAATTATGCATGTGCCCAAAAATACATCAGTGTTTTAATTGTGCCAAAACCAGTTTAGCCATCCCAATATACAGTATCTGAAGAGACAGGTCTGTAGTTTTAAAAATGGTTCCATTCTTGTTTTGACAAATAAAGTGATACAATTCACCAGTCATTATTTCATAATTTCTGCTACAAATTGAGACACCGAGGATTTCTGTCATGATGGGATTAATTTAATCATTAGGCATCAACTCCAATATCCTATCAAATGTCAGATGTATTAAAGATGGTCACTAAATTTATGCAAGATGTTTTTTTCCTATGTCTTTATTATATACACACACACACACACACACACACACACATATATATATATATATGAACAGTTACTGCATTTGATATTTTATTGCTCTTGCCAGAACCGTCCTTCACCCGTTCAGCTTTTTCATTATTTGTCATCACTTTGTTCCCGTTTTTTAAAACCCATAATTCATTTGCCAATATCACTGAGTTTTTAATTTCAAGTGATTGTCTACTACGCCATGAAAGTAATCAGGTGAAAACACATTGCTTGTGCCCTGGGCATTGCTGCACACACAGCCCATCTCAAGTCAGAGATATGGTATAAAACCGTATGGATCCATGAAAAAGCACCTAGCACTGAAGTGAGAAATTGGCTATGAGTCATTATGCATAAACACCAAA